TAGTGGAAACAGGAGATGGGGCTTAGCTGAAGGGAATGGATCATGAGTGTGACCTTTGGGACTATATCTGGTCCCTGGTCCCCTTTCTCCCTGGTGCTCTTTCCTCCTCTCTCTGCTTCCTGGATACCATAAAGCAAGGAGCTTTCTTCCATAACAATCTTTTACCATGATGTTTCTGCCTCACCACAGGCCTAGAATACAGCAGCTGACCATGGACTGAAACCACGAGCCAAAATAAACTTTTCTTCTTGAAAGTTGTTTTTTCTCCTGTATTTAGTCACAGGGACAAAAGGATAATTAACCTGAACTCCAATCTTTGCTCCATATTCCTGGGCAAGGCATTGACATTTCTAAGTCTCAATTTCCTCAAATTACAAAGGAGAAATCACACATAGCTCACAGTGATGTAGTGAGGATCAAGACAGTACAGTGTGTGGAGTGCTTAAGCACCATCTTACACTAATAGGTGCTCAGTATGTGATAACTGGATGGTCTTTATGTGGTGGGAGCATTCAAGTATATAAGATGAATGATTCTACCAACTGTTACTACATAAAGCTGGAAAATGAATTGGTCAGCTTCCTTACTGTCAGAGACGCTTAGGCATTTGCTTCTATTCACTTCAAACTTGAAACTGTGACAGCTTTTGAGCTAATAAACTTCTCCCAATATGAAAGCAAAACAACTGGTTTATGATAAAAATAAACTTTTACAGAGCAAATGAATACAAACATAGTCTAATTCAGCACACAAGAAAATGAAAAGCATGTAGATGAGGAAGAGATGCTACAGGTGTGTCTTTTCGCTGTGACTGAGCGGCAGTCTGCCTCCCTATTCCTGCCCCTCGGGAGATCAATATGTGCATGTGGAAGCCAAGCAGGTGACAGTTACAGTATAAAAGTATGTGCAGTCTAGGCTGCAACCAACTGTTCAACTTCAGCAAATCTAGAACTACTGGCCCTTAGTTGTTCATACTTTTTTGTTTGTTTGTTTGGTTGCTTGGTTGGTTTTTTGGTACTGGGGATTGAACTTGGGACCTTGCATTTGCAAGGCAGGTGGCGGCACCACTGAGCTAGATCCCCGGCCCAGTTGTTCATACTTTGGTATTTTAAACACAGACCATCACTATTTTTATATTCATTTTTTAAAACTATAGAAATTGTTTTTTGATAGCACATATTGGGGGCTTCAGCCCAGGGCTTTTGCACTGAGCTACATTGTCACCTTTTCATAAGATTTTTATTTTGAGCCGGGCATGGTGGCACATGCCTATAATTCCAGCACTCAGGAGGCTGAGGCACGAGGATTGTTGTGAGTTCAAGGCCAGCCTGGGCTACAATAGTGAGTTCAAGGTCAGCCTGAACTACATAGTAAGACCCTGTTTCCAAAAAAAAAAATTTTTTTTTTTTAAATTTTGAGACAGGGTTACTAAGGTCACTAAGTTACCCAGACTGGATTTGAACTTGCAATCTTTCCAGAGTGCTGGGATTATAGGTGTGTGCCACCACCCCTGGCAGAACAAGATGTTTTCTTAATAGACTTGAAACTTGGCATAATTGTCGCAAACATGAGCTCTCTAGACACACCAACTATACTATGTAAATTTATTAGTAATCCTCAGTTTGACATGTTTGTCTCCTTGCAAGACTATGTGCTTTTCAAGGGCCAAAAGATGTAGAAAGTAAAGCAGATTCTTAAAGTTAGAGGTCACAGTCCTGGCAGTTAGGAAGTCAGGCAGAGACTATACTTTTGCCTGGTGAACAGAGTCTAAGAATATGAGGTATGTGTCTTCCTTTGGTTACTTTCTCTAAGCATTCTACGTGCAGTCTAACCATGGTTTCAAATGGGTGCCAGACAGGCTGATTACTGCTTTCACAAGGCTTCCTCTATTATCATTAATGTCTAACACTTGCCTCAACAATACATGACTTTCTTTAAAACATAGTAACTCAGGCTGAGGATTTAGCTCAGTGGTTTCGCCGCCTGCTGCACAAGCACAAGGACCTGAGTTTGATCCCCGGTACCAAAGAAAAAAAAGGTCTCAAAACATAGTAACACATAACTCTACAAGGAATTGATCTTTTGAAAAATGTTCTCAGGGAGGAAATTACTTCCCTGCTCCATCACGACTACCATCTTGGCAGCTCCCTACCAAAAATACCTGCTCCACAAGGTGCTCCACACATGTGCCTGTTGAACCACAAAATCATAATATTGGAGAGTGGGAAGTCTTAAATTGCTCCAGTGATTCTTACATTTGTCCGGTAATGGAACTCTTTCATTAAACTGATTTTTTTTAAGGAACTTCAATATATAAAACGATAATGTGATCCACTAGTTTAGAGTCAAAATAAGCTACACATTTTTCAATGCACCCAGAAAGAACACAGGATAAAACAGTGGTGGCAAGTCTATGGCACATGTGCCACAACAGGCTGTTTATTATCAATGAAAGCTTTAAAAAGTTCTCCATCACTGGGGTAAAGAGACAATGTATAATACCTTCATCTTAGGTTTTAGAAACTGAGATCCAAAGCACTTGAATGACTTATTCAAGTTCCCATATAGACGTGGGCAGAACCTAGGCTTAAAGTCTATACTTTCTGAATCCTGTTTGGTTCTTCTTTATTTTTACTGGCCCTGGCAGAACTATCTGGTGTCAGGCTCTCTCTACCCTGGACCCTCAACACATGACCACTGGGTTGATTTCTCTACCCAAAGAGCTCCTGGTCCAACAGCACTACTGAGCAACCCATCTTGTGAAGGCTGCCTCAGTATGTCCTAAGACAAAGTTTTCAAATGGCTCTGCACATCAGTATTTCAGGCAAATTTTAATTTTTTACCTTTTCTCAATACGTTTTTAGGAAATTCACATTGAAATATATAATACATAAATTTAAAGAGTGCATTAACTTATACTATTAACTAACTTTCTGTACATATACTTTGGCTTCTCTTAAATGTCATTGGTAAAATAATTATAGCCTTCTTGTTTTGTTGTTTCATGTGTCTGTCCATCGAATACTTAGTCCAGATGAACTATGGGTTTATGTATACCTGCTTGGTTCATGTTCCTACAAGGGATACTGACAAGCTGACTGAAAATGCCTGGCACATAACACAGGCTCCATGAGTTCTGATTAATGCAAAAACAAGTGGATCCTTAACAAGTACCCCTAGATAATATCATTAGTTTTTGTACTTGTGTTAAAGTTTGAGCTACCCCTTGCCATAATATAAGCTATGTTTCAAAAGCAGGTATAAAGATATTCATGCCTAACACTTGGTCAATGTCCTTTTCAACGCTTAGCATGGCCTATCCACGGCCTGCTCTTTGGGCCTGTATGTGTCTTATGGCTCGTGTTTAGATGTTGCCCACCCCGCCCCCCGCAAAGCCTCATGCTTTTTCAGAGGTGAGTGAATCTACTGTGTGTGACTGATTCATGGTGGGGGTAGGCCCAAGGGCACTAGGATTAAGGGTGTGAGTGCTACCCGTCCTAAGTAGTCTGAAAAGGTAAAAGGGGCAGAAAGACACTGTTAAGGTCCCTTGTTGCTGTTGCTACCTACCTCTGTCTGCCATGATTGTTGCCCCTCTGCCATGTGCCACTCTGCCTTGAAGCCAGCTGATTATGAACTAAAATCTTTACATACTGTGAGCTAAATAAACCTTTCCCTTTTAACTTTTGTTGTCTTAGCCATAAGAGAAAAGTAACTAAGACAATGTGAAACGTTAAATCCCAGAAAACATCCTTGCTCTCAGTTCGAATATAGGCTGTATTGCACTCTAAGCAAAAAGAGTGGAGAAATACAAGGGCAAATCAGTCCTTGATCTCCTGTCCCTTGGCTTCTCATGTACTGCTTATTATATTCCTCACCGAGATGGAACATCAACTAGACTAGGCCCAAGTGAGGAACACAAGAAATATTTTGTTGGCCTGATTTCTTTTTTTTTGGTTCCAGGGATTGAACTCAGGACCTTGTGCTTGCCAGGCAGATGTGGCACCAATGAGCTAAATCCCTGGCCCTGGCCTGATTTCTTTTTTTTTTTTTTTTTTGGTACTGGGGATCCAACTCGGGTCCTTGTGCTTGCGCAGCAGGTGGCAAAACCACTGAGCTAAATCCCCGGCCCACCTGATTTCTTTTTAAAGTCAAGGAAATAAAATGTTTGAAGGCGAGAGATCTAGAAAGTCAGCTGCTGATGAAAAAATGACAGTTATGGTTCCCTAAGGGGATACGCCCTTTGAAAAACATATTGTACGATACTTTATCATGTAAGAGGAAGAAAAACAGTTTTGAATTCTCATTTAGAATAAACAATGCTACTTACTGTAAATAAAAACTAAAATACCCAAACAAAATCAGAATACCCCATATAGTTGGTGAAACTGTTTTAACTACTAATGTAAAGTATACTTGTTGAAAAAAAAATCATCATACATAATTGGTATGTTCCTCATTCCTAGCAGGTAACCACTGTTGATTTTATGTGTATTCTAAAAAGTTTCCCTCACTCATAATAATATATATACATGAATGTGTGCATGTGCATACACACTGTATTTGATTTCAAGAAATAATTCTTAAAGGACTATGCAATAAAGAACACACAAGAACAAAACCAACATGGCTTCTAAGATTTTTCACAGAAATACGAATTAATACAAAATGTAAGCTTCACTACCACCATCAGATAGCTACAGAAACCAAGTTGGGGCCGGCACATAAATGACAGACTCCATAACTAGTACTCATTCAACACAATAAAAGTGTTAGAGGATAATAAGGTAAATACAGTAATAGTGCAGTCCAAGAGATACATTTATTTTTTTGTGTTTTTTTGTTTATTTGGTTTTTGGGGGTTTTTTTGGTACCGGGGATCAAACTCAGGACCTTGCACTTACGAGGCAGGTGGCGGCACCACTGAGCTAAATCCCGGGCAAGATACATTTAAATTTAGAAATCAAATAATGATTGCCTAGTACTTATATGACTGAGCTTACCTAAAGGCAGCAATTAGTGGTGCATAAATTGAGTCTCCATCATAAACATATAAATGGTCCCAACTACACTCCGTAGCAAAATGATTAAAACGAAGTCTCATTATTCTATTTGGTCTAAAAAAAACATAAAAGGTTATTTATAGTAATCATCATAAAAACATTTGAAAAAACAAAGACTTTTTAAGAATTTACCAAGAGATATATAATATTTATACTATATTTATAATATAATATAATATTTATAATTTATAATAAATATTTATATATAATATATAAACAACATTCCTTCATTTGTCAAAGATTTATTTAGTACTTACTGTGTGCAAGAGGTTAAACATGCAATGAAAAACAACATAGGTGTGGTCTGTGACTCTCTGGGACTTACAGTCTATTTAGCAGCCAGTCTTTAACACTCTCTGAACCCATCCATTAGCCCTTCCATTGCTCTGCTTCCATCCTTAATCAATTTAAGATTCCATACAATAGCATTTCACAAACACATCTCTCAGTTTTCTAAACATGCCTGCTCTTGTGCCTTTTCATGGCACTTCCAGGCAGAAGTCCTGGCCTAGAGGAAACTATTTATCTGTTCTGACTTAGATCAAATTCAAAGAAACCTAAGCTGTACAGTAAAAAGTCATACTACTGGGCACACTGGTTTTAGTACTGGCCTCTGCTCACCACTTCACATAGCATTTCGATTCCATCAACACTCCTACCACTGGCTCTCCCTCTTCAAAATTACAAATTCTCAATGATTGTTTCAAACTATTCAGTCCCACCTTCCTACTTATGCTGAGTATTTTTTTTGGTACCAGGGATCTACATGGAATATCTTGACAATGTTCCTTGAAATTTTTATTTTCCAAAACAGATAAACCTACCTACTTCTTCTACTTTTCAAATATTTAACATTTCCCTCTCATCTGAAACCCACATTTAAATCTGGTTAAGTATCACATATTTTAGAAAACAATAAAACCAAAAAAAAGCCTTAGATTTGCAAAATGCAAAACAATGCTACTCTTCTAACTAAAAATTTCTTTAAATAAGATGTTTTCCATAAAAATGACATTTATGTTAACGTGGTGTGTTAGTAATTGTTGCTTTTAAATGATTAGTAGGTTTCTTGGTTTTACCTTCTAAAATGGTAAACACAAGAGATACAACCCACATAAACAAAAGTTACTTGGAATCTCCAAAGCTTAACAGTATAAAGAGATCCTGAAACTAAAAAAGTTTGAGAAATACTGCATTAAAGGTCTGCTGTGAAGGGAAAGACAAAAAGAAGGAAACAGTTGGGGGGACACAGGAGGTCCAGAGAAGGAGTTTAGGTGGTCATGTTTATTCTCATGTTTCTGTCCACAATAAAAATAGGCATTCAGGGGCCTAAGGACAAAGCTCTATGTGTGAGGTCCGGGGAGCCATACTCAGCACCATTAAAAAAATAGTATTTAGAAAACTGATACAATATTATAATTTTATACTGTTTTAAGCATTAAAAACACTTAAATAGGGCCGGGGATTTAGCTCAGTGGTTCTGCTGCCTGCCTCGAAAGTACAAGGTCCCTAGTTCAATCCCCGGTACCAAAAAAAAATAAAACAGAAAACACTTTAACAGTCTTGTAAACTATTATAGTTGAAGATTTACAAATTTGTGGTGTTTACTATTCACTTGCAGCATTAAATCAACTTGAACCTGTTTTTAAAAATTAACAATGAAAATTAAGAAAAATAAAAACATTCCTTGCCAAGAGAAAGTTATTAAATAAAAAATATCTTCAGTACTTTATGCTATAAATTGTTCATCTCACTTGTAGGAAAAGTAATGCCACATTGAGCTCTATCCTATAAATAAACAAACAAACAAACAAAAAAGTTAACCATTTCTACTTACTGTCCTTCAATGAGCCATGTGCACTTCGTTTTATATTTATAATTTCCAGGTCCATCTGTTACAAACCCAGAAGATCCAGTTAGTCTGTAAATTAAATTAAGAAAAAAAAAAGGTCAGTTTTCAGAATTTCATGTATTAATCTTTCTTAATGAGCAATATAATACAAATTAGGCAGATTGGGTACATTAATGTATATCATAATAAAAAATGACTAGATAGTCATATTCAGTGAGTGCACAAATTTGAATGAAGCAAAGATTTGCTACATACCTAAAAAGTGGCTATAAACATTATAACCAACAGAGATGAACAAAAAACTTACCTAACCTTTCAGCAAATGCTTCCAAAAACTAACCTTTAAATAACAGACATCCAAAGAGAGACCATCATTTCTCTAGGCTTTACTATGGCTGAATTTTACAGCTGGAAGAACTGTAGCCATCAAGCTATAAATTTGAATACAAAGCCAGCACCAAAGATGACAAATCAAAGGAAGGCAAAGAAGAGTGGTACCAATCATCCACAGAAACCACTCTATTTTAGACTTTTAGTTTTATGGGTAAATAAATTTCCCATGGGAGGGGGTTGTGTGCGTGTGTGTACGAAGGCTCAAAAAGTTTAATGGCTATCTACTATGCTTGTTTTGCTTCTAATAGTTTCCATGGACATCACATGAAGAGATTTAGGTATACCAAACAGTATCACTTTTGGAAAAGAAATGTCATTTGTATTTTAAATGTTTATTTAATATATTTAAATATACACATATACAAAATTCTATAGAAGGGCCAGGGATTTAGCTCAGTGGTGCTGCCGCCACCTGCCTCACAAGTGCAAGGTCCTGAGTTCGATCCCTGGTACCAAAAAAAAAAAATCTACAGATAATATAGATATACTCATAGACAAGCTTTAATTAAAGAACAATTTCTCTTTGTCATTTATTCACTCCAATTATTCCCACTTACTCCCAACCCAATAAATATTTAACTACCAGCAAGCATTATTAACTATTTTTCTTCATTCTCACAAGCCTATAACATTCATGTGGTTCTCTTAAATAATTTTTGGTTACACAATTAATTATTATATAAACGTTTCTACATCTTTCTTTTCTCACTCAATAAAACCTTGAGGAAATCTCTCCAACTAAGTAGGCATTAGCCTAATTCATTCTTTTTCATGTAGCACAATATTCCAACCTATGGAAGTATCAATTTTCCATCTGTCCCCTATTAACATTCTTTTTGTTTTTCAGATGGTTGGCCTTATAAATACTACTATAATAAATCCCCCTCACATATGGCCTTATTTGTGCTTTTATTTCTAAGAATAGAATCTTAGGAGAAAGATTACTGGGCCAAAAGGAGTAAAAAAAAATTCACTGCTAATAAAGCTGCCAAATTATTTTCTGAAAGGCTATAACAATTCTCATTTGTACCACCAATGTATGAGAATATGCTACCCACATTATCTCTGTATTCGGTGTTCTTATTTCTTTTAAATTTTGCCTATTTTAATTTGAAAGTTCCTGCATATTAGTGAACAGTCCAGTAGTTACTGAAAGGTTAGAAGATTTGAAAGAAGATAAAAAATATCAACCTAAAGTTTCAGGTCAAGTTTGATGGTGTCACTGATGAGATCTAGGTATAGATATGAGTTCTGCCTGGCATTAAGGAAATCCAGTTCATCAGGAGTCACACAAAGGCATCAAACTGAAACATAAAGGCATTTCAATAACAAGGCCAGAAATAGAATAAGCTCCTTGTTACTACCAATTTCTCAGTTCAAGAATACACTGAGGATAATTCTACAATGGAAACAAATACAGGAAGGATAGGGAAGCCTTCCACCGGTGGCAGGTTTCAGAAGAATCATCTAATAATTAATTTACTTGTTATTACCCAATAATGCAGCATATAAAAATCTCAATTTTCTTCATCTATTGAAATTTTCTTTATGGTCAAGTACCGTGAACACTGACAAACTTCTTTATATGCATATATAATTAAGTTCGCTGAATACACTATTCAATTCCTTATATTCTTATTTTTATCCTCTAGATCCAATTCTAGAAACATTCAAATGCCACACTATGACCAGTCTATTACATCTCACATTATTTTTCTTTATATATTAAGTCATTTATTCACACAAGCTTATGACTATTTGATTCCTATAAATTATGCCTTTTATCATAGAAGTGCTCACTTACCTAATTTTATTCCACCCTATCTATTATTATAACTACTGATTTTTTGTTGTTGTTGCTCTCGTTTTCTTGGTCCTTAGATCTTTCTCCAACTCTTCATTTTTTATCTTTATCAAGTTTTAAAGTTTGTTTTTTCTAAATAAGACCTATTTAGGCTATGCTTCTTAACTTATTCTGACAGTGTTTTACTGGCACTATGTAATCTATTCACATTAGAATAACTGCTATAGTGATATGATCCCTTCCAAATTCTTAAACCAACCCTAAATGTGGAGACATTTGCATACAATAAAATAAAGCTACCTTAAATGTACAATTTGCTAAGTTTTGATAAATGTATACACATATGCAATCCTCCTCAAACAGGATATAAAACAGTTCCATCACCGCCAAAAGTTTCCTCACACGCCTTTGTAGGTAATTCCTCCCAACCTGTCTCAAATACTCAATGTATTTCTAGCACTATAGAACTTGATTTACAGACATTTTTGTGTCTCACTTCTTTTGATCAGCACAATGTGTCAGTACTGTGTGTCTCAATACTGTAGTTTGCTCTTTCATATTGCTCAGCAGTATTCTATTGTATAAATATACCACAACTCTGTTACCAGAGATTGAACCCAGAGCCTTCATACTGAGCTACATCCCCAGCCCCTTTTATTTTGACACACGGTCTTGGTAAGTCACCCATGCTAGGCTCAAACTGGAATCTTCTTGCCTCAGCCTCCCAGAGCATTGGGATTACAGGTGTGTGGCACCACACCCAGCTACTACCAACTTCTTTGTTCATTCTCTTGATGACTACTTGGATTATCTAGTTAAAGGCCCTCACAAAAAAAAGCTGTGAAGACATATAGTATACAAGTCTTTGTGTAAACATGTACATACATTTATCTTGGACAAATACATAAAGTGAAATTTCTGTGTCAAAGTATAGATATGCATTTAAATTTGTAAGAAACTACCAAACTATTTCCTAAGCAGTTGTATCTTATACTTCTATGTCAAAGTAAGAGAGCTCAATATACTCCCCACTGATGCCCACACTTGGTATAATCAGTCTTTTTCTAGGCCATTCCAGTATGTGTTGTAATATCTCATGGTTTAAATATATATTTCTCTGGTAATTAAAGATTTTGAGCATCTTTCAGGTGTTGATAAGTCATCCGCATGTATTATTTTGTGACAGATTGTTCTTATTTTTGTTTGAGGGGTGCCATTTGTTTTCTGAGTTACAAGATTTTTCATATGTTCTAGATGCTAGCTAGTCTTTTATCAGGTATGTGTGTATAGATAGATACTTTTTTTTTGTAGTATGAGGATTGAACCCAGGGTCCTTCACACATGCTAGTCAAATGTCCTACCAGAGGTATACCCTCAGCCCTTTTTAAAAATTCTATTTTGAGACAGATGTCACTAAATTACCCAGGCTGGCCTTGAACTTGTGATTCTCCTGCCTCAGTCTCTCAAGAAGCTGGGATTACAGGCAGGTACCACGATGCCCAGTCACACAGACATTTTGCAAATATTCTTCTATCTTTTTATTTCCTAACAATGACTTTTGGGGGGGGGAAGGTTCTAATTTTGATGCGTAATTTTTTCATTTTTTAATTAGTCTTTTCTGAGGCTTAAAAAAATGTTTGCCTATACCAAAAGTAAAAAGATTTTTGTTTGACTTCTTTATCATTGTATAGTGTTAGCTTTCACACTTAAATCTTTAGTTCCATTTGGGTGAAGGTTTATATCTGGTATAAGATAGAGATCAAGATTAACTTATTTTCCATATGAACATCCAAGTGTTTTTTGTTTGTTTTTTTTGGTAATGGGGATCAAACTTGGGACCTTGCCCTTGGGAGGCAGGCACTGGAACCACTGAGCTAAATCCCCAGCCCTCAAGTATTTTTTGAAAAGACTCTTTTCCTCACTGTCTACTTTGTGTATGTGTGTGTGTGTGTATATATATATATAAATCAACCATCAATGTGTGGGTATGCATATTTTGGGATTTTGTTCTGTTTTGTTGATGTATATGTTTATCTTTATGCTAATACAATACCTTGATTGCTCTAGTTTTATAGATGGTCTTGAAACAAAGTAGTATAATTCCTTAAGTCTTTTTTTTCCCCAAGATTATTTAGGTTAATTTAGGCTAGTCTGGGCCCTTAGTAGTCCCCTATACCAGTGGTGGTGAACCTATGGCATATGTGCCATAGTGGCTTGTTTGTATCATTGAAGCTCTAACAGGTTCGCCATCATTGCCCTATATACTTTAGAATCATTTATCAAAATCTACAAAAAATAAAAATTTTGCAGGGATTCTGATGAGGGTTGTATTTAATCTGTGATAAATTTGGAGATAATATCCTTACAGTCCATAAATATGGCATATCCCTCCATTTATATATAACTTCTCATATCTTTCAGCAAAATGTTACAGATTTCAATATAAAAGTTTTGCATCTTTTATCCCTAAATATTTTGATTTTAAAAAGCTAAATGATATTGCTGCTTTGATATTCTATTTCTTGCTAATAGAAATATAGCTGATTATAGAATCTTGTATCCTGATGCCTTGATATATAGAACTTAATAGTTCTAACATGTATTTTTAAGATTATGATTTTCTACCTACATTAGCATGTCATCTATAAAGTTTTACTTCTCCCACTCCTCGAGTCTAGGTGATTTTTATTTATTCTTCTTGCCTTATTTGCACTTGCTAGGACCCCTGTTCAGTGTTGAATAGAAGTCATGAGAATGGGCATTCTTTTTTTTTTTCCTTAAATTCTTTTATTGGTACATTTTAGGTATATAATACGTTTACATTTATCATTGGGTGCTTGTACCTGTACATGATGTATCTTGCTTATTTTTT